TTACTTATTTTGGTTTGAAGTCTTTATTTGGCCTTTTAACAAAATATGTAAAAAGAAAAAACAGAAATACATGTTTGATATTAATAATTTATTACTATGCGATAAGTCCAGATTATTTTTTGTGTAGTCTTCTGCCCCCTGTGTATCTGATTGTGTACAATAGGATTTTGAGCAAAGTTTTTACCATTAAATTATGCAAAAGGGGTCAGACGCAAAACATTTCAGAAACCGTATCAAATATGAAATATTTGGCATTACAGGGTTAAATCAACTTGCAAATTTTCATTCATTGATGGGAGTGAAACCACAAACTGGCTGAGGATGATTGTTTGATGCAAAATGTTTATTAATGTTCCTTTTTCACCACATTTACTTCGGTTTAAATCTTAAAAGAATGTACAAATTTAATGAACAATATATGTCCATCTAACATCCCTATTCACGCCAAATTTAAATGATAAACTTTGGTTCTTTTCCCATAATTGAGACTATTAAATCAACATGCAAATCTTCATTTATTTTGTGGTATTATCACAAAGCTTTTGACTATTTTTTACACTTTATGTGTGAACTAAACATCATCATTGATGATTATAGTGTAAATCATAGAGATATTTGTTCAGATCCATTATTCTATAGACGCCAAATCCCCTTTTAAGCTTGGTCTTTAAGGGGGTCCGTGCTCTGGTCAGCCTGTTTCACATGGTCAGTGTCTCTGGTCCCAAAAACCTCCGCTGTGTTGCGTCACGCGCGTGCTCGCTGTGAGATTAGGCTGCGCATCCCGTCCAGCCTTTACTCCCGGCAGCAGATCTGAGTAGAGAGTCTGACCGGGTCTAAAAGCCCTCAGAGGCTCACAGGAAAAACTCTCCTCCAGAATAAGTTCAGAGAGCAGCGCGAGACAAACAACGAGCCTGTTGTTCAGCCCGGAGACTTCAGAGAACATTCAGCACCACGGACAGCGACTCCTCTCTAACATTCAGCACCACGGACAGCGACTCTCTCTCTAACCTCCATCACTCTCCCTCTCTCTCTAACATTCAGCACCACGGACAGCGACTCTCCCTCTAACATTCAGAACCACGGACAGCGACTCCCGCTCTAACTCCCCTCATTCTCTCTATCTATCTCTCTCCTTCACTCTCTCTCTTTCTCTTCCTCCTTCCGTCTCTCCCTCTCTCTCTCCCCCTTTCTCTCTTCCCCTCCTCTCTCTCTCTCTCTCTCTCTCTCTCTCTCTCTCTCTCTCTC